AAATTGTATCTTGTTTTGGTGGTGAAGCAATAACCTTTTAGGTAACATTTAACAGTAAACATGAACACTTCATTTCAAATTGCATGCACCAGTTTACTAAAGTAAAACACAACCATAAGCTGGAAAGCACCAGCATTCTTTCTGAGTGGAAATCCAATACCTGTGAAACACAAAATAGTTGCCAGTAGCATGAACAACAGCAACACACTGTCACGGAGGTGTGCTTAAATTAGTCACATGATTACAGCAGAAGCAGAGATCAGACATTTAAACTTTCATGAACAGCAGGTCCATGATTTCTCATTAACAACTACGATTTCTGACAGGCGGTTCAGTCCAAAATGAGATGGTGGCCTTTCACTAATATGATCAAAACAAATTAAATAATTTCTTCTGCCTGAATGAATATACAGTATTTCTCAGTTAAGAAATGACTGCATGAATTAGGCTCATTATTATTTATTATTTTAAAAACCATGACGTTTTGGACTCCACCACAGTTTCTCTATGCTCATACATTTCTGCTCAGAGCATCTAGTCTTCACCTCTGACATGGGTTATAAATGCAAACCAAACAACACAAAACAAACCCTAAACTAAAAATAGTTTTGGAAAGCAGAGTTCAGACAATGTTCAGTCAATTACTCCAGGTCACAGAGGGAAGCCATCATCATTTGTCCTTGTTAACCAGCTTCTACATGGGAAACAGATGTTTCAGTAATGAAGGATCATCTTTTTAAACGTGTGTATTTTAGCTATAACAAGTACAAGTGAAGAGATAGATATGCTGAACAACTTCAAAAGACACACAAATTAGGACTAATCCAAACTCAGAGGGCTGTTTGCAGCGGAGGAGCAGTTTTTCAACTCCAACCACTTAATTAAAAAACTGTGCAAGACCATATGTGTCATCATACTGTGCACAGTATTTTTTTAATGAAACAATAAGAAAATGGTAGATGTAAATGTCAGACAGCATCTGTCATTGAAAAGTAAAATACTCAAAACCTGGATAAATGTATAGCAAGATGTTTCTTTTCTGTCTCGAGCCTGTTGGTACAAGCAATGGGCGTTGTATAATTAAGACAACTTGAACGACGTGTAACCGCGTGACCTGTGAGCCACAAGCGAAACGAAACCCACTTAACGCATAATACAGACATGACAGGTCAAGATTCCCTAGCAACACTCAGACACATATAACATCTGTTTAACACAGCCTGTAGACAATAAAGGTGAGGATATCGCTTAAAGGTCACACTGACCAGGATCAAGATGTAGCCAAAGAACACAGTGACGAGTAGCTAATCAGCCACTCGGTGATGTGTAGTTCTGAGGTAAAAATCCTTCTCTGTGTGCATGAGCATTACCACCGTTTAAAGACACCAATACCCCCCTTCACAACATTTGACAATGATGAGTTTTTTTGTTTTTGTTTAGGGTTTTTTGTTGTTGTTGTTGTTGTTGTTCTTTTACGATGCTTTGGCCGACAGACCAACCCTGACTAGCCGGTCTCCTTCCTTGTTGGATTCGACCCAGAGGAGCCACAGGCCGGCCTTGTTTTTGCCGAAAAACACCTCACCACCATTCGCAGCTACAGCGTCAGGACATCCTAAACACTGACAAGTGGGCAGACATTATACATATAAAGAGTTTCTTGTCGTCTCAAAAACTTACTTTCAGCTCGTAACACACGGTAGAGGAGACTTGCTGACCGTATCGAAGCCGGCTGCGAGAAAACTAGCCGTTGTTGTGCAGCGCAGCTAGCGTCAGTTGCTAACTAGGCGTTACGTTAGCTAGCGTTGATTTGGCAATGTCCCGTTTGAGATTCTCAGAAAAGTTTCTGACGTCGACACCAACAAAAACCGTGTCGTAAATTCACGAGGTAATTTATCTACAAATAGTGTTTAAATTTGGCACTTGCCTTAAGGCTTGCCTGCCTACAAGCCACCCAACCAGCTAACTACTTAGTTCTCCCTTGTCTTCTTTCACTTCCGCCTCCCAAACAACGCTTGTGCCCTACGTCAGACGTAAACAGCCAATAACAACCCCTTCTGAAATATTAATTAAGGCCCGTATAACTTCTCTATCCTCGACTTTCACAGCCCATTAAATGCCACAGCTCGGGTCTTTTCAGAGAAAACATTAATATTAGTACTGATTCTCAACCCTGTTGCCATTCATATAAAACAAACATGACAGATACGTATTAAAAACATTAAAATAATATTAAACTCAATTGTCCTAATTTTACCCATTTTATTTTATGGATTTCTTAGCTCACAAAGTTTTAAACTACTGCCTTTTAACAGTTTGAATTATTATTTGTGGCTGTGTCTATGGTGTATTCGGGCAAATGTTTGAAAACAAAAAACTGAAATCAGTGAAACAAAAAAGTATGTGACTATGAAAAGTGAAAATTTGGGCAAGGTTGATTTAGAAACTTGCCTAAACTCCTACTAAGTGTAAGCTGAAACTGAATTAGTATTCAGTATGAGTGTGACTAGCTTTAACTTAGTGGTCAAGAAATTAATATTTTGTTCAATAAAGTTTTCAAGTTTCAGAGTATTGGTATTAGGGTTGCACCAAACATAATACACAACAACTAACATATTATAAAATACTGTAAAACATTTAAAATTCTTCAAGCGTAGATTGTTTTTGAATTGCAAAATTACCCAGGCTTTGAGCACAAATGCTAACCTGCTGATGTTATGTATTGATAGATTACAGTAAACATTAAACAGGCAAGTTGCCAAGCTTTCAGTTAAAAATTAACTCCCACACTGAGTCAGATCTGACCACATCATCACCCTGACTCGCATGATTTTTATCAGGTGTGTGCTTATTGTCCTGGTTGCGTTTTTTTCACAAGACCTGACTTTGCACTAGATAGGTCCCACTGGATGACATAACAGATAACTGGGCTAAACCTGACAAGTCTGTAGCCTGGATATATAATAGAAAGCCATGTTGGAGCTTTGTAGTCATTCTGATGCCCCTTAATGCAGACTCAAGTAATTACAGTTCCCTAAATTGATAATAAATCGGCTTCAGAGCTGCTGTTCCACTTTATTCAAAAACACAAACAATATTTTAAATCTTCTAACATAATGAGTGAGATGATGAGCTGCATATTCCAAGTAATTCTACATAACTTTTACAAAACATCCAGTGAACATGAGCATTTGTTTTTTTCAGTGGGAAACAACATTCTGGGGAGGCACCTTGAACTGATCTTAACAAATCTAACTCTCAAAACCTCCAACTACCATTTTTTTTCATTGTATGATTAAGATGATATTGTCCTAAGAACCAGCCTATTCATTTATGTGATGGACATTTGTTTTTGGGTTATATCTTTTGACTTATTTGAGCAACCCTACTAAGTCCTGGTGTACTAAACAGAGGACATCCTGGTCTTTCCATTGATATCTCATGTATTTGGGTGGCCTCTTTTAGCTCCAAAGAGGAAGGAAATCACAAAATAAGTTCAATAGGAAGATTCTTATCCTTGGTTCTCAGGAGGATATGTTAGAGTTGTCATTTTAATTATAGTGCATTATTACACCCCACCAGTGAGTCATCTAAAATAATGGTTGGATGGATGGAGTGAGTAGTCCACCACTAGAGGGCAGTGGAAATTCATTTTGAACAGAAGAACCAAGCGAACTAATGAACTCAGACCTTTTTCAAATGCATGCTGTCACTCTGTAAAACAGTAAATTTAACATTAATATTTTTCCTATTACTTCTCATTGGCTGTTAGTGTTATTTACTATATTGTCAGTTTTACTCACATGAATTATCTCTTACAGAAGTGCAGTCATGAAAAAGAAAGTCTTCACAGGACTCTATTAAGTTTTTTGAAAAACAAAGTACACCCTTACTACTTCCACAGGAATTAAGTAGCAGCAGGATCTGCTAATCACGTACACTTGATTCATTGATTATTATCCCCTCTATGAAAGCAGAGGTGTTTGTAGTTTGCCTTGTTTGGAGTATTCAGGTGAGTCTTAACAAAATACCACTATCTTCTCAAAAGTGGACATCCCAGAAAATTCACACTAATGTTGACACATATTTAAAAAATTAAAGAAAAGCTAAAGAAAAAAACAACAAAACAAAACATGAAGCACACCTCAGGCTCTACAGGCCTCGAATGGCATGTCAAATGCTAAAGTTCATGGAGCAACACAGTAAAAAAAAAAGGTGGGCCTAAATTCCTCCAGATTGATATGAGATACTAGTAAAGTCATACAGAAAATGTCTTTAAAAATGGTTTCACATTAATATATCATCTTTCCATACTAAATGTCGTATGTGCATTTGTTCTCCTCATTACTGGAAGCGTGCCTCTGTAGAATCTTGATGACTGGGATGACTCTGGTGTTTATAGAGAAATTCCTCCCTTCTTACACCTATTGAATCTGGAGTCTTTATGGCCTCTTTGTAAATACAAACACTGCAACACAAAAGCGTGTGAGCTAGAAAACGGTTCATGGGTGGGAAGGCGCCACATACTTGGAGCATCTGCTGGATTTTCATCCTTGCAAACATTGTCGCATTTGCACCTTGATGATGGCAAAACGTAAGAGCTGCTCAAGGTGGGACACATCGTTTATATCATTAGGACAGACATATCAGCAAGGTGTAGAGTCTATTAAATCATGAGAGACAGCCATCAAAGTGCTTGTGTGTTTGAGATATAACGGCACTTTCATTCACATTCTTAGTGCGTGTATGTGTAAACATGCATCTCTGTGTGTGGCTGTGTGGGAGGGGAGGAGAGGCAATGAGATGAGTTAAGGAGATGAACAGATTGTGTGTGTGTGTGTGTGTGTGTGTGTGTGTGTGTGTGTGTGTGTGTGTGTGTGTGTGTGTG